TGTGGAGACTTGTTCTGGAACCATGGGAACCGAGTGCAGCTTCCCAGGTTCCCCGCGGTGCCACCGTGGGGGGTGGCTGGGGAGCACAAGGAGGTGAAGAGGGCTGCCGCCGGTGCTGGCGGCTCACTTTAAGCCAGGCACCGTACTACCACTCTGGAGGGCCCGGATTTATCACCTACGGCAGCAAATTGTGTTAAGTGACCACGTATAAGGGAGTCTCCCTCTGGAGAGAGGCGGGCGGGCCAACCCGTATTTAGTGGCATACTGTCTCCACTCCTTCCTCGCCAAGCCCTGGCACACAATTCCCAATCAGAAAGCATGCGATCTTGGCTTTGAAAATTACAGAAGCTGTGGGCCCTTCATCAAGGACTTTCTTCCTTTGGTTCCTGCCAGGTGGATGTTAAGTACCATGACGCCTGCTGAATTTGATGTATCCAGCAGAGAGGAAGAAGCCCTGAGCCTCATGACATTTCAGGACTCATCTCCCGTGACACCCTCCCTGAAGGAAGAGAAGGCAAGAAATATCACAAGACACACTTTTCGTTACTGAGAGAAGTTTTATTGAGGTGGGTGCAACACTGCAGAACGAAAACATCGTTTCCGCCTTCGCTACAGACACGGGCAGCCTTGGATCCCTCCTTAAGGGGAAGGCAGCTTGATCAGAATGCAGAACTTGGACAAGTGACTTACATGGGAATCTAAAATGTCCTAGCGAGAACCACCAAACCGCAGAGCTTCCAAGATTCTTGTGCTTTTTTTAAGGATTTTCTAACACTGATACACTGTCATCCTTTGATCTGTGTGGAGCAGAAATCGATCGTTCTTACCGAATGACACAGCAGAAAAGAACACGTGTATTTTTCTTTAAAAGTTTTGAAGATGTTTAGTCATTAAAAAGAACTTAAAGTACGCCTAGAGCACCACTCTACAGAACTCCATGAGATTGTAATGACAGTGCTTTCAAAAAGCCAACTTGTTAAAGAGGAATGGATGGCATCCGCTTTTGTAGGGAACATGTGACACTGTCGAATTCTACAAGGATTTTCCTCATTTAGGGGGCAAGGGAAAGCTCACACAGCCTGAGAAACTCTAACAACTTTCAAGAACTCGAAGAACAATTACTGATCGAACTGCATGCTTTAAGTGACAGTATTTTTACAGCTAAGGAAGAGACCCCCCCCAAAACAATACATTTCATTTCAAGCAGGCCGAACAAAACAATGGTGAATTATCATCTATTATGTTCCACAAGTGACTATCATTTTTGCCAGCCCTTTCAAGGTTTCACATTATTTGTGAAAAACAGGCCCCCCTGACCAACAACTGCCCAGAAGGGCCATTTCATCTCCATGCCCTCATATGAAACCCCAATCAGCGCTAATTGCACATTTCAAATCAAGAGGTTGTTCTGGGAAGTGACTTGAGATCAGGAGCTTCAAAACTTCCAATTTCGCTAATCACTGCAGGGCAACACCGAACTTGTACTGAACTTGGAGAGGGGCTACAAGAAGCAGCTAAGAACTGCCACTACTTATTCGCAGACACCTAGTCATTTACACAAATCTTCCTCTCTCCACCAGGAGGCTGAGGGAGTCTCCCCTCTCCTTTCCTCCAGAGGACCGTGTGCCTTTTCAAATCAGATCACAGTTGCCAACAAACGAGCCTTCTCCCAACAGCGTGTTCGTGTGTTCAGCAAGTATTTACAGAATGCCTATGACCCGCCAGCCGCTGGGTTAGCTTACAGTACAGCAGATTAAAAACTGCCGTCGTCGTAGACCGTCCTCGTAGACCCGGGACGGAGAGTAAGCACAATACGCCGCTACGAACACACCTGAAAAAGTGTGCAACACTCCGCCCGTGGGAGCGTCCGCCCTGCCGCCCCACCTTGGCTCATTCTCGGATAGGACAGAGGCTCGGCTTCCACAGACCAAACACGAACATGCAACAAGACCTGCCGCACAGCCGGAAGCTGCTAGCATTTTCACCAGCACAACCACCAAGTAGGACAAAGCATTGCGCAGGTGTTCGAAGAGGCTGAACGGGGTCAGTGGCGGCGGCTTGGTCGCTCCAGGATGCTGCCACCCACCCACTGTCTTAACTGGATTGTTCAGCCCGGCTCTAGACAATGAGCTCCACTCCTCAGAAGGTACAGCACACTCAAAAGTGTGCAAACACGATCTCCTACGTGAACACAGCACGGAGACACTGCTGGAAGCAGCTGCTCCCTGCAAGGGCTGAGAGGCCTCCACTGTGGGCCGGGCGGCCTGGGCTCCGGCCCCGAAAGCACGTACCAGGACGGGCCCTGATGGTGCATTTCATGCTATGTGTGCATCGCAGGGGAGGGTTTGTACCTTTTAAAATATTTCGGGTTTGTAACTTCCCAGAAGTCTGAAAAGGTCTACTCTGGACGTCTCTGCCTGTCCTGTGGTAAAAGCAAACAGGTGGCCGGATGCTGCTTTCAGGATGATTGGGTCCAGTCCCAGCCGGTGATTTTCTAGGAAGACGTGAGCCAGAAACAAAGTCAGTAGCCCTGGGGTCCTCAGTCAGGCTCTGTCTGTCCCTTTGTAGAAAGCACTGGATGACTCTCTACCCTCAGGAAACGGAGGCCTCGAAAGTCATCCTGCAAGCCAGCAACTCCCAGGGGATGGAGTAGTTCACTTTCCTGGTAACGCTTTCTCCCCATGCCAGAATGTAGGGCCGGGCATCCACCTCAGCCTCTTAGCTCCACGACGGTCATTCACGGCCAACCCCATGGGCAGCTCCATGTCCACCACAGACTTGCCCCCCGCCCTGCCAGGGAAGGTGCAGAAGGCCAGTGGAGCCCTTCCTGGGCAAAACCACTCTGCTATGGTTTTGTCCCAGCTTCACACTGGAGGACTGGTGGCTAAAGAGCCTCTGGGAAAAACTACAACTAGACTCTCAAGACCACCAGCTACAGAAGCTCTGGGGAGAGGAAAACAATACGGTGTCTCCCAAGAACACAGAGCAGTTGCTGGGAGTTTTCTGCAAGGGCCTTTATTGTGGCTACTCTTCTTTGTACCTGCCTCTGCCTTTGCTGCCTGTGACTAGGCTCTAAACTCCTCAAAGATGGGGACCGGCCTTATTCGTTATATCCAACAGTCAGTGCCGAGCATGACAAGCATGACGGGCCCGGGACATCCCAGAACCTACTAGACCTCAGTGTGTAGTAACAGGGAAGAGGAAGAAGGGTCAAGGACTCCAACTATATCAACTCTGATAGAAGGATTCCATGTGACGGGGCTGAGGGAGTTGCTGGTTTCCTAAAATAATGGATCTATTTTACCACTTCAAAGTACAAATTAGGGGCCACCTATAAAGAAGATGAAGCTTTTTGGGGAAAAAAAGTATATCAGAAAAAGCTCTCAGAAATCTTTTCAAATTATAAAAAGAAACCAATGTGGAGAGCTGTGATGGAACGCTTGGATATGGCGATATAAAAATGAAGGAAAATGGAGTATTTAGGTTCCTACCATTTCTAAGTCACACTAATTCAACGGTAATAAATATCATGTAATAAGAATAATTTAAAGCACTGATTGCATCCTTAAGACTTATCATTAGCTTTCCATCTCAGACACCATCACAGGAGCACAACTAAAACCTGCTCCTGTGAGTATTCTGAAAAGAGAGTAGAATATTCTCAGAATATTCTGAGCAGCTTATGTAAATTTTGTTTTTCAAACTAATTAGATTAGGTAAACAACTCTCCCTAGGAGCCAAATGTAAACTTTGAGGTTCCTGAGGATTACTCACTTTAGTAATGTGTTAACTTCCTAAGAATAAAAACAGAGAGATCCACGGACAGAATTTTAAAGGGTTTTGTATAAAATGTAAACATAGTTTGGACCTATTTCCATGGTTAGAACTGGGAAAGGTTTTTATATACTCTGAACTGCCTTAAATGTTTATGAAATAATGCTTGAGTGTTATATATCCATCTGTAACATTTATCCTCTAATTCTCCATCAACTCTAGAACATCCTTCCCAAATGGCCTCAGTTCTGATGTCACAGGATTCTAAATTAAAATGAATTTTTAAAAGATGTGCTTAAATATAAATAAAATAAACCGTTAAGCTGGTCTGGTTCCAAGCACACCATATGGCAGATGTCATTTATACGTTCTGCTCATATGAAGCAAAATGTCCCTTTTTTTTTTTTTTTAAAGCATTCTGTGTTCTGTTCATTTGTTTAACATCCTGTTTCGAGTCTTTTGCTAAGACAGGAAGGACCTGCAGAGAACCCCCTTGGAAAACGGACTGAAATAGCCTGTTCTGTATGTCCAGATTTCCCCACTGGGCTCTGTGAGAAGAATTCTTTCCTGTACGGAAGTCGCAAGTAAATGTCCCCGGGACCCTGCCTTGCTCACCACGATTCCAGGTGGAGCGGTGCGGGGGCCCAGAGCCCTCCAGGGCAGAGCCGGCGCCGCAATTTCGGGGACAAGCAGCAGGGTGCGCCGCAGAGCCTGCGGGGACAGGAGCCTCACTGTCCCCAAGTGGAGGACACCGCCAACAGCAGGTACCCCGCTGGTCAGTGAATGGTTTTCTCGTGCAACAGTCGTTAAGGACACATAGGAGATTCATGTTACAATTGTATCCTGACAGGTTTTATTTCACACAACAAATACTAAAAGCCTACTGAAGTCCTTGCTGGTAGCTCCGAGTCTCACTGCAGCATCTCTCCAGAAAGGTGCTTCTTTGAGGCAAACAGGGCTAAGACTCTTGCTTTGATGAGCCTTCCCATCTCCATGTGATGAGGACTCATACATGTACACTTGCTGGGGTTGACCCATCTCCATGGTGCTGCTCATCAGGAGTTCATGAACCATTCTCCTAGAACGTTCTGTGGACTGTCATTTTCACTGGGGACTCAATAAGGCATGCTCAGTAGCTCTACTGAGAACTGTCTGGGAATCTGACAGCCGATACAAATCCCATGTCACAAAAGTCACGGATCTCATGTTCAAGGGGAAAAAAATCATCAGCAGGAAGAATCCAGAAGTCTCTGTCGAGCATTCGTCTCTCCGTTATTTACTTTAATTTCACTGGGTCCATTCAAATCTGTCAAAACAGAAAAATATTTATGACAAAAGTCACACAGCAGGAACTGACAGCATGAACTACCTACTCTTCTATCAATCTCGTGTTCTTTGCCTTACCAGGGTTTGCTTCTTAGCCACATTTCAGGGCACGGTGAAGTTAGGTCAGGGCTACGGTTAAATCAACGAGTTTGTCTCTTTTGAAAGAGATGGAGAACAATGGGCAAGAGGCCCAGAGGTATGGGGACAAAGCCCACAGAATGGACAAGCATACACGAGAATGACAGCAAGGAGGGATGCCTGGGGCAGAGACCTCGAGAGAATGACCAGGAAGAGAGGTCAGGAGAAAGCACACTTTCCTCTGGAGATCAGGGGCAGCACCCGTTCTTCCCCTCGGTCTCCGAGTCCTGAGGGGTTTCACCTAAGACCGCACAGGAAAATGGTTTCCTGATGAGGGGCGGGGGCAAGACTGTCGCTCATTGGTGAAGGACGGCCACAAAGGCGCTCCGTGGGCCTCCTCAGCCTCTGCCCCGAGAGCTCACCCTACCTTTGAGCTCCGTCATCGGGTCCCCTGGCTCCTCTGTCGTCATTTCCACAGGCTCCGGTCTCTTGCCATCCATGACATCCATCTTGATCGTGCCAAGGTGAGTCAGGAGGAGCACTGGGTTGATGCCCTGGCCACTGCTTTTAATATTCTCCAGTACCTTCAGACACCTGTAGGACTTGAGCTCACTTATATTCTCCTCCAAGAAGAGGTTGTAGAGACTCAGGTCGTTGTACCCCTCCGACTTGAAATGCAGGACATCAAAAGTGGGCAGGATCTCATACACCCTGAGAACGTCTGTCTTCTGTCGGTAGGGAACGAAGAGCGTGTAGATGACCACGAAGGCCAGCAGCACATAAACCACGAGGTTGATGAGGCTGAGCAACTGGAAGACGCTGACGGCGATGAGCTTGCACTGAAAGCGATCGGGGATGGTGCTGTCATTTCTCAGGATCCCGGACTTGATGTTGCAGACAAATTCGTCAGACAGCGATGAGAGGCTGAAGTAATAGCCCAGGTAGGCGCACGCGGACAGTATGATGCTGAGCGTCAGCAACCGGCAGCCGATGTACTTGATGACTAAGTTCTTACAGTTCTTCTTTGTCTTCAAGTACTGCTCCACAATCGGGTACTTGAAATGGCTTTCAGAGATCTCCCACAAACTACAAACAACAACAACAAGGGGATACAAAAAAAAATTTATAATCCTTACTAAGATCAAATATCAAAGACGTAAACGCACAGAATAGTATCACACTAAAAATCTCAAACACCCTTCTCCCTTCCCTACTTTACCTCTAATTTCACTGGCGTATCAGGGAATAAAATCAGGTTTAAAAAAAGAAAAAGAAAAATTACAACAGAACACTCACCCTCTTAGTATCTTAAAGAAGGTCTGGTTAGTTAAATGAGTTATATTTGTAAATTCTTACAATGCCTGGCACCTAGTAAATGCTACACGTGGACCATTCTTATTCTACTGTTTTTAAATCTGCAATTTTCTCAGGTGTGCAGAATAAATAAGACTTTCTGGCCCAACTTGAACGCATGCGCCTCCTCCGGGTGAGGTGCGGGAGGCAGACCACTCCGTGGGTTCAGGGCTCAGACTTAGGGCACACGGGCCTGGCTGGGGTCCCAGCCCTCCCTCTGAAAGCTGGAGGACAGTGTTTTTATCTAGGGAAGAGGGAGGCAGTAAATCAAGGCAGTTAGTTGTAATGACATGGTGAGGGCTGAGATAAGGTACCCAGAGAAAACACAGTCTCTGGGATAGATTATTTTAAAAATGAGAGCTATTAATAGGATTACCCTTGTTGAGAACAAGAACCAGAGGAAGAATGTGAAAAAGACAAGGTGCTGCCTACTCGTTACCCACTTCTTTCTCACCGGTTCTCCAAGCTCAGCAGCCCCATAACCCTCTGCGCTTCTCCATTACGGAGTAGGTCACAGTCAGCAAGTAGCTGGTGCTGTCACCTGTCACCCCAGCTACACATACCTGCCTTTCAGAACATGAGACAGTGGCATTCCCCTCAACAAGGCAAAGCGTCTGGATGTGACGACAGGTGCTGGGGCAGGCAGGTGGGATGAGATTAGGGGAGAGCGGGCCTTCCTGGCTCCCACAGATGGCTGCAGGTGGATGACAACCCCCCACCCCCACCTACTATAGTGGGAACCCTAGGCCCAGATGGGCAGGAGGAGGGCTGAGACCTCATACCCCAAAGCCTGCCAAGATACCTGCTGGGGGCTGAGTTACCTTTGCCCCATGTTCTCAGGAAGCCCCGGAATGGGGCCGGCACCATCTCTCACGTCCTGATCATCATACATGCTCTTTGCGGCTTGAATTGAGCGGTTGTAAACCTTATCAAGTTCTTCCATGATAAACTTCAAATCTGAGCAAAGATGAGGAATAGCTGCAAAACGCCAGAACAGGGAGGGCAGGTACAGGAGGATGGCCACCAGCAGCAGGATGTAGGGGAAAAACTGAAAAACAAGACAGCCAATCAGGGGATCCACAGACCCCTCACCTCAGGACCCTAAGGGTCCAAGTGCTGCTCTCCATTTTCTCGTTTTGAGACCAATGTGCATGCCCACGTCAAGGACGGAAATCGGGCTCCTCAGAACTACTTAAGGCTAAATTCATCTGCCCGGGTACGAAACCATCACTATTTTTTTTTTTTTTTAATCCCCCTTCAACAGACTTTAATTTGAAATAACTGGCAACTACGTGGTGACTGACGCACGGCGTCCCCTCCCTAATCACAGAAGGAAACAAAAAAATAAAATGACTTCCATGTCCTTTAGTGTAATCCCTTAATAAAATCCCAATTAAGGAACAGGTAAATGTCACAGTGGGCTCTCTGGTTTGGGGGTTGGTTTTCACTGCCGTGGTTTTAGGAGGTCACTAATGTTCAAGCTCTTTTCTTCCCCCTCTCGCTACAATCTGGGGAAAATGACACAGAAATGCCAAACTCGCCCAAAACAAATGAGAAAAATTGTGGCTTCAGTGATCCAGTAATCACACCATCAAACAGCTGGCCTAAGCAGTTAAACTTCACAGAATGCAGAATGGACCATCCATGCCGGGACAGACTGGAGGACTGCCCGACACCCTCACTGTACAGCTGAGTGACCTCAGGCCCAGACAAGCCAACCGCCATGGGCCACAGCCCCACAGAGAGCATCTGGTTGTGGATGTACATGCAAAACAAACCCAAGGGGATTCCGGAGTCAGGGAAAGCAAAGAGCGCCCAGTAACCAGGGCCGCCAGGCCGTCGGGAAAGGCTAAGCCTTAAGAGAAGGCAAAGGAAGACAATGAACTATAGTTAGCATGGATCTGAATTTAAGTTCGGCTTCGTATCCTTGGGTGCCGAGGTTCACTGAGCCTCTGACTCTCAGGTTCCCGATCTATGAAACGGTCGTGTAATAGAGGTATCATGAAGATTAAGTTAGATAATGTGTGCAAACTGTTTAGCGTGGTGCCTGGCATGTAAAATGCACTAGAGCACACAAGCTACAACCAACGGAAGGGCTACCTCATGGACACATCATATCTTTAGTCCTCACAGTGACCCTGCTAAGGCCTTTATTGATGGTTTCCCTTCACAAAGGGGACGAGGACTCCCAGAGTGTCCTCTGGCCACAGAGCACAAAGCTGGAGCGGGGGACAATATGAAGCCTGCCCTCTCTGAACCCAGAGCCATGCCTTTTCCACCACAATACCCCACAAATTATTTTACTTCTCTGGAAAACTTCTCCCCGTCTTTGGATTGGTCTCTCCCATTTCCTCAGAGTTGTAGCAGTGAGGGCCTTGAGAGGACACAGAACTCCCACCCCACACATCTCTGAGAGTGAGCAGCAGACCCAACACTGGGCTTCTCGCCATCCAGTCAGATGTAGAGAAAAGTTGCAAAGACTGTACAGAATGTTCTCGAATGACACACATCTGGTGTTCCCACTGTTAACACTTTACATTTCCATGGTCCACTTGTCAAGACTAAGAAGACATCATTAACTCAATTTCAGACTTGCACTTGGGTTTCTCCAGAGGTCCCAGTGTTGTCTTCTTTCTGCTCAAAGATCCAATTCAGGGTCTATCTGTCAATTGAGTTGTCATGTCTCCCTCGTCTCCTTGGTTCTGTGATAGTTTCTCAGGTCTTCTCTTGTTTTGCATGAAGAATGATATTTTTTCTAAAGATTTTAAGTAATCTCTATAGCCAACGTGGGGCATAAACTCACAACCCCCAGATCAAGAGTCACACACTCCACTGACCAAGCCAGCCAGGTGCCCCAAAAATAGTTATCTTTAAATGTATAAAATAATACCTAAAAGTTCACAAAAGTAGATGATAATTGAGAGTTATCACATTAAAAAATAAATTTATATGTGCTTATTAACACATTTATTAGGATCTGACACATGGTCTAACACCAACTTTGAAGTGGTGAAGGTCTCTGTGACAAAATCACAGATGCCACTAACATAATTAGGGATAGTTGCCTGCATGATATGTATTTTTCAATGTTAAATTTTAGTTAGAGATGCATAAAAGCCCCCTCGCCGATACTGCCTCCTCCATCTGGGGTTCTGGCCTGGGATGGGCTTTCTCAAAACCATTAACCCGATTTGCAGAGGCGTGCTGCACCATGACACGCACAACAGGCTGTGATCCGAGGAATTCTGGCTACGTCGTTCATAGTTGGCTACAGCGAGAAACACCTACTCTGAAGGGCACCTGTTAGCACAAAAATGTAACCATGTGAGACAGTCTGTGCTCCTTCCAGAACCCTCTAAGAGAGCCAGGCATCTTCTTGGGGAACTACAGGGAGAACGCTATTTCTAATCTGGGGCTGTGGGATACCTTTACAAGTCACTTTTGTTTCAAAGCTATTTGAATTAATAGAATTTTACCTCAAACTGTTCTTCTGGATTAAAAAGTGACTGTTTACAGTCTGTGGCACTTTTTCCAAAGGCCTATGTGGTGCAATAATTAGTACCAATGAATAGATCAGCTATATAGCTCATTGTAATTGGAAAAATGAGTGTTTAAAGCTATTACACATTGGGTGTTTGCTTTCTCCTCAGATATCCTCATACCTTGATCACCTCTGCAAGCAAGGAATGCAGCTGAATAATGCCCCATTGCTCGGTTTTCTCCACAGTCAAGCCTCTTGTTTCTTTTTCATCAAAAATGAATATGTGACTTTCAGTGACTCTGTAACAAGGTGGTATTAAAATCAATTCAATCGAAATGGGAATCCAAAAAAGCATTAAATGATAGTCTTTAAAATCCTTTTGTCTGTGTAAGAAGCATGGGGAAATTGCCGAGCTTTAGGGATGGGAATGGCTGGACGGGAATGGCTTTGTTCATGAGCTCTGTCTGCTCCAAACGAGATCTGAGACACTCGGCATCTCTCAAAGCCATGGCCGCACAATCCTGTTATGCGGTTCTTGTCAGCACTGAGTGCTTCCAGTGACAGCGAAGCTCCTCAAAGCGAAGTAGAACCAAACGGCAGCACAATTTCCAGTCTGTTTGCCTTAAAAGTTTGTGTTGTTTCTGGAAGGGGTTGTAGAACAATAGAACTTCCAGAAGGAAGGAAGCCTGGAGGGGCTCTGGTACAACCTCCCTCTGCATTCAAATCCCCTCTACCTCGTGGAAGGTGAAGATGGGTTCAATTGAGGACTGAACAGCTCCTCCCCTGAAATGTATGTGGTCATGGCCTATGGCATTAAATGCAGATGGGTAAATCCATTTAAAAACATCTGGGCTGGGGGCACCTGGCTGGCTCAGACAGTGGAGTGTGCCATGCTTGATCTCGGGGTTATGAGTTTGAGCCCCACGTGGGGAATGGAGATTACTTAAAAAAAATAAAATCTTAAAAACAAACAAAAAACCCATCAGGCCTGGGAGCAGGGCCAGGTGGGAATACCAGCTAAAAAATAAAACATTAAAGTGGTGGCCACTAAATACGTAGGTACTTAAGTACTGAGCAACGAGAAATGTCCTTCAGAAGATCAGGGAAGGCTTTACAAAAGAGGTGACATCTGAACTAGGTCTTCAAGTACAGAGAGGCAACAAGAACATACAAGAATGCTATTCGTACATTAAGACTCCACTCAAATTTCACCTTTTCTGTGGCCCTTCGGATGCACACTTTCCTCTGCGTGGAATTCTTTCTCCTTTTCTGCCCGGTGAATTCCTATGCATTCAGGGGAACAAAGCAAACGAGCGAGCCCACAGTGAGGACGTAGTAAGAGCTGAGGTTGGAAGGATGTACTCGGTTGAATGGTGTCTCCCCGCTAAAACTCACGCCAGGAACCTTAGAATGGGACCTCGTTTGGAAATACACCACAGCCTGCCAGCCACCACCACAAATGAGAAGAGAGGCACAGAGTTCTCCCTCTGAGCCCCCGGAAGGAACCCACCGTGCTGACACCTTCATTTCCAACTCCTGGCCTCCAGAAATATGAGCGAATAAATTTCTCCTGTGCCAAGCCACGAAGTGGGTGGTAATTTGCTACAGCAGCCCTAGGAAGTCCTACGAAGCGTAAGCAGGAACTAAATTATGACGCCCTCGGCTTCCCATGTTATAGGCGATGGGAAGCCCCCGGTGCAGGGCATGATGACAATTTATTTGAGAGAGACTACTGCAGCCGTGGAGAAGGGAACCCAGTGGAAAGGAGAGAGACAAGGCAGGAGGTTAGGATGGCAGAGCGGCGGGGAGGGCTATACGCTGGGCTGAGGCAGCAACAGTGGGCACGGGGGGAGACGGATGCAAGAGCCACAGAGCGCGAGGAGCAGACGCTGCCCACTTGGAATTGACGGATGGAAAAGGAAGAAGAGAGGCTAATTCTGGGTTTCTAGCTTATGCAAGGGTGTGGGTGGTAGTACCATTAGTTGAGCTAAAGAAACAAGAAGGAATGGATTCCAAGCAGAGGGGAGTGAGGTGGGAGGCAGCCCAAGGAGATGAGAGCTTGTGAACGGAAGATACCCATAATGAAGAACTCAAATCCTAGTGGAGATGTGTAGTAGGGCAGCTGAAAATAAAGGGGAAAAATCTGGCTGACCTTACGATTCAGGATTTTGTAGCACACAGAGATGGTCGAAGCCAAGAATGGCTGGGCTCATCCAAGGAGAATACGTAGGAGGGGCCAAGAGGGGCAGGCAGGGACACGGGATCCTGACCTGAGGGTGGGGCAAAAAGAGAACGCTGGAAGAGATGGGAAGTAATGGTCTGAAGGCAGGAAGCAGGCGAACCAAGAACAAATTGCACTGGGGAAGTGGTCTAAAAAGAAACATGGAAGATGTCTGCTCTTGGCCGCGTCTTGTTCAGACAGTAACTCACTTTGAAGATAATCCCAAATTTGGGAAGTCTTGAGTGCAGGGCTATGCAGAAAGGCTAGTGCATCCGCGAGCAGCTTACAGAGGACAGAGGAGAAAGGCAGGTACTCCATCCTACTCTGCACTCAAGGGAAGACACCC